AAGGAAGGAAGGAAACACAGTGACCTCTCTGCCATGGGAGATGTTAAGTCATAATATAATGACCATAAACCAAGGCTATTAAAAAAGTGGACTAGCTATCAGGTCCTTTTCATTTCTGAAAATATAAAAAATTAGAAGACCTACCATCTATATGCTTAAAAACTCTTACCCTCACCCTTCTTAAGTCAAATCCTGGAGAAAATATGAAATATATTAAATATGATAATTCTTCTTTGCACACTAAACACCAGAAAAGGCTTGAACATGGGCTAGAAGAAAGACCAACAGCTCAGTTACATCAAAGTCCTGATAGCTCCCAAGAGGTGGTTCCAAGTTTGTGCTGGACAGCAGGGAAGAGGGTTCCATGTTCTAACAGATGGCTGAATACCTCAGCCTAGAGTTTGGACCCTGGAGACACACTCTCCAGGAAGTCCTCCAGCCCCTTCCTCCTCTTGGAAAGGAACTCTGGGAACTATGACTCTTGAGAGCTACTTTGTCCCCTCAGGACACAGTTGTAGAAGTGTATAATGAGTATCAACAATTACTCTGGCTTTGGCCTGAATGAAAACCTGAGGGAGTTACGTTTCAGGAGACTTTATAACAGAGAATAATTTCCAGTTTTCTCTTTGCTATGACCTGCCCTGATTCCTTAAGGAGGAAACCAGACTTCTTATCTTCAAGCTTCAGCCAGGACAGTGATTTCCACCGTTTTCACTCCACAGTTAGGAAATTTAGGCTTCTCTTTCCAAATCATCCTCATATTACCTTCTCAGCTTCAAAAACAGAGGAGCAGAGACCTACTCTCCAGCAGGTCTACCTGCAAAAAGGAATGCTAGTCTAGCTGGCTGTTAGATTCCCATTTGTTGTAGGGGAGTGAAAGCCAAGGGCAGGACACTTGTAAACAGCTTCTGAGCTGACTCAACAGGTAGGGACTAGAGACATTGGAGAGAGAGCCTTTCTGACAGTAACATCAAGCAATAGAACACCAGCCACTGCCTGCATAATATCCTTCAAACCTCACAAAACTCCCATAAGGTAAGTAGAATTATTATGTCACTTTATCAGATGGGAAAATTGTGAATTGAATTATCTAAACTCCCTTAGATAGGAAGTAGCAAAACAAGTACTCAAACACAGGCCTGACTCCAGTCCCCAAATTCTCAAGGTCAGATGGAAAAAAAAGGCAGAGAGAGAAAGAGACAAAAAGAAATAGAGAGTTACAAAGACAGAGAGGGCACTCTCGCTTCCTGAGACCACTTCTCCTTTGGCTTTCATCCATGAGAACAGAATCAGAAAGAACACATTCTGACTTAGTTATCTCTGCCTGGAGTTCTCTCCATCTTCTGGCATTTTATTGCGTATGTGTAGGTATGTACACACGAGTGTACGAGAGCACTGGCACAAGCATATTGTCCTAGAAAGGAGCTATTAAGACATCTTCCACTCCTACATACAAAGGGCATGTGAAGAAGACCCAACAGAAAATTATTTTACTGTTAAACACTGATGAGCTGAACTACCAGGGAGGCTGAAAGCACTCGGGGCACAACTCCCTGTCCTTGTCTGCTATGTCTGGTACACCTGGTAACAAAAGGAAGCACTTGGATTCTTTTGGCCCAGCAAAATCTCAGAGCACTAATCTCCAGGAATGTGGAGTTCAGTTGCCCAGCATTATCTGGGACCCTGACTTCACTCTGGGGACCTCTAAGCTCTCACTCTGCCCCTAGAACTCATGTTGATGCACCTCCTGGCTCCTCTCCCAGGTGTGTAAGGTTGCCTTTCCCCCCAGGGTTTCCGTAAAAATCATCTTTCTATAAGGATGGCTGCACTCTGATGTCCTGCACTGCTGATCCTGTCCTGGAGTCCATGTGGTCAGAAACCTTTCCTCTGATTCTGAGTTGCTTTCCATTCCATGTAGATTGTATCAACCTCTTCTCCTGTGCTGATCTATTTCTCTTATACTCTTTAATTCTTCTTTATTACCTCACAGCTGTCCTTGCACCAGATTGTCACTCCAAAATGTCACCCTGCTGTCAATACACATACATACATACCCAATATCTATGTTTACATTAAACAAAAGGTCACATATCTCTATTACCAGAGAGGGTTATTGCAAACTACCTTCACTTTACTAATTCTTCATACCCATCTAGAAAGTCTGTACTTTCTTGTGTTGATCAAAACCCTCTACAATGTAATCACTAATTTCTTTTTCTGACTGAATACTTCCTACCCCTGTATCCCCTGATATCAGCTCCTGATAAATATTTGACACATTTCTGTCTAAAATTACCCTCACCTGAACAATTTGTCCCTGAGTTTTTCTCAAGGATAAGGCAATGAGACTTCATCTGTTAACCGATGGGTTGCTTTAAAGAGGCAGACACAATCACATTTGCCTTTTATAAATATAATTTTGAGGCCAGGAAGCAAATGTCTGTGTTATGCTTGGCTGAACACTTACAGACCCTGGGATTCCCATTCCCGCTGTAAATAACCCCCCATTTATTCTCAACATCTTCACAGGAAGCACTCTGTCTCCTACATTCACAAAAAGTGAATGTGAGCCAGCCGTCTCACAGCCACACTCGGGATGCAATTACCACCTCATGTGAAATCTTCATTTTAAATTAAATTTGTTTATTATAATATTTTTGTCAAAACATCAGAAAGGCAAAGAGAATAAGATCACAAAACTTACCAAATGTAAGAATATGGTCTTATTTACTCCATGGGTTTTAAATAAATAAATAGTATGGTAACTTTGTTTCCACCCAAAATCTAATTTTTGGCCCTCTACCTCCAGAGACAACTGCAGTTCTAGCATTAGTAATATACTACCATTCAGGATTAATACTTTTACTACGTAGACATGTATTATTTTAAAGATTAAAATTTATATAAATCTTGCTACAGCATATGTCCTCCAGTAACTCACTTTTCTCAGTCATGTTAATTTTTTAAACCTATTCATATGAATTCTTTCATTTTACTGCTATACGGAACTCATCAATAAGAAAATGACACAATATACTTATTTATCCCTCCACTTGTAGACCATTTCTAAGTTTTCTGTATGACAATGAATGTCATCATGAACACATGTGCTAAAATTCCCACAGGGTGTCCAACCTTTTTTTCTTCTCTGCCACACATTGGAAGAAGGATTATTTTGGACTGCACATTAAATACACAAATACTTACAAATGCTGATGAAACAAAAAATGTCTGTGCATAATTTTTGTGATATCTAAGACAAGCAAAACTGTCCTGACACAATCCACATGTGGCCCACGGGCTGTAGGTTGGACACCCTCTAAGATGTAATCTAGACGTGGAATAATTGCTAGTTGTTTTCCAGCTGGCAATACTAATTTCTCTCTTTCTCCCTACACTTAAAATTGTCACATTTTTACACTTTTACACACACCAAAATGAAGAATGTTAAACTGAATTTTGTTTTAACTTGGTTAAAGAGCTTTTCTTTTGATTATTGGCCATTCCAGTTTCCTGTTCTATAACTTGTTTATTCAAACCTTTGCCCAGTCTTTTCTACAAGAGTTTTGGTCCTACTTTTTATTAGTGTGTAGAGCTGTCATGTATTCTGAATACTAATTCTTTATTTATTATGTGTTTACCAAATACCTCTTTCAATACATGACTTAGCCTTTCCTTTATGATATGTTTTTTACTCAAATGTCACTTTTTAATGTTGTCAAATTTTACAGTATTTTCTCTCATGTTTTGTGTCTGGTTTAAGAAATCAATTTCCTATTCTTATAAACATATTTCTCTTATTTTATTCTAAAATTTGGAGATTTTTCTCTCAATTAATCCCATAAGAATTATTTCTCTGCATTATTTTTTAAATGGGTATCTAATTGTTTCAGCACTCTTTACTAAACAGTCAACTCATTATGTGATTAAATCCAGATGTTAGGGTGGTGGTGCTAAGATTGGAGGATGACTACATCTGATTCATAGATGCTCACTTTTTTCTTTTAGAGATTCTTACTCTGTTGCCTAGGCTAGAGTGCCAGGTCATCAATCTAACTCATAGGAACCTCAAACTCCTGCCTCAGCCTCCCAAGTAGCTAGAACTACAGATGTCCAGCACAATGCTTGGCTAATTTTATTTTTAGTAGAGATGGGTCTCAATTTTTCTCAGGTTGGTCTCAAACTTCTAAGTTCAAGCAATCCTCCCACCTTGGCCTCCCATATTCCTAGGGTTACAGGCACAAGTCACCATACCTGGCTCAGATTGCTCACTTCTTAGAGATAAATGTCCAGGGGTCAATGACAATTAGGCCCATTGACCAATAGACATTTTACCTAAAAATATTATCTATCTATGGACTTAAAAATCCAGGTATAGACTGATGAAAAGTGGTGGATACGGAAGATCATTACATATACTAACGATACCAATAATTCTGGATTCCTCTCCTCTTTCATTGCTGAAGAAGCCATGAAGAAAGAAAACCATTCCTTTAACCTGGATTTTATCCTCCTGGGAGTTACAGGTCAGCAGAAGCAGGAAGATTTCTTCTTTGTTCTCTTTTTGTTCATTTATCCCATCACATTGACTGGAAACCTGCTCATCATTTTGGCCATTCATTCTGACATTCGCCTTCACAACCCCATGTATTTTTTCCTTGCCAACCTCTCCTTAGTTGACATTTTCTTCTCATCTATAACCATCCCTAAGACATTGGCCAACCATCTCTTGGGCATCAAAACTATTTCTTTTGGGGGATGCCTAACACAGATGTATTTCATGATAGCCTTGGCTAATGCAGACAGCTATACTTTGGCTGCAATGGCATATGATCGGGCTGTGGCCATCAGCCGCCCACTTCACTACACAACAATTGTGAGTCCAAAGTTTTGTGTTCTGTTAGTTGTTGGGTCTTGGGTAGTTGGAAATGCCAATGCCCTCCCCCACACTCTGCTCACAGCTAGTCTATCTTTCTGTGGTAACCAGGAGGTGGCCAACTTCTACTGTGACATTATGCCTTTACTCAAGATATCCTGTTCTGACATCCACTTTAATGTGAAGATTATGTACCTAGGGGTTGTTGTTTTCTCTGTGCCACTACTATGCATTATTATCTCCTATGTCCAGGTCTTTTCCACAGTCTTACGAGTTCCATCTACCAAAGGTGTGTTCAAAGCCTTATCCACCTGTGGTTCCCACCTCACAGTTGTTTCGTTGTATTATGGCACAACGATGGGCATGTATTTCCGCCCTCTGACCAGTTATAGTCTAAAAGATGCAGTGCTAACTGTGACGTACATGGCAGTGACCCCAATGTTAAACCCTTTCATCTATAGTCTGAGAAATCGGGATATGAAGGCTGCCCTGAGGAAACTCTTCAGCAAGAGAATCCACTCATGATGGATGTGAGATTATACCTTGAATACTGTAATTACCCATTAGGATGCACTTGGAAATCCAGCTTTAATGTCATTGTCCTCCAACGAGAAACTCTTTTTGGTCCTTGCAGTCAGAAATTCCTCTTCCAGAAATCTAGTAACAGTTAGATGAGATGTTCAGTGAAATTATCACTTTGCATACAGTTTTTGCAGTGTGGCAGCAAAAATATATTAAGTTTGTGTCCCAGCTAGCTGAAATTGACTGTCAAAGTTGAGAAAGTCTGAGTTTCAATTTCCACAAATCTACCTATTAGGAAAAATAATATCTGCCTGGGTCTATCACATAGTGTGTATCACAATAACTCATTCTTTAAAGGCTACAAATCACTATTCAAATGTAATTCTTATTTAGTTTAGCCACCCCTACTATAAGCCTCTGGTGGCAGAAGCTATATTAACACCTCTGTTACCTTTACTAACTCAATCATATAAAATGTATCTAATAAATGTTGGTGAAAAGCATAAAACATATGAAAAGATTAGTCTCTGAAATATATGATAATGATTAAATGTAATCAGACTCCATATTACTTACCCATGCATTATAAAGCTGGTGCATCAGTTAGCATCACTTAAGATTGATTCAGGAAGTAGCAATCATACACAGTATATTTCATATATTTATAACAATATTTAATAAAGGGCATTAGCTACATAGGTGTATACTGAAAGAAACCAAAGGAATGAAAAGGCAGATGCTGAAAGCAGCACAGGTTATTAACTGTAGGAAGGAGATACTTCCCTCAAGACTAGGGGAACAAAAGGATAAAAGTGGTGTTACCAGAACCTAGGAGCTCTGAGAGGCTAGAATATTTCTGATGCTTGGATCTCTGAGGAGAGCTGCCAAACATCTGGCACTTGGTCCTCACCTGGTGAAGTAAGCCAAATTTTCATTCCTAGGGGATTAATCCTCAGTAATATTGCATGGATTTGTTTGTTTGTTTGGTTGGTTGGTTGGTTTGTTGGTTGGTATAGTTTCTATCCATCTCTTTGCTATTGAGCATGGAAATACTAAGAATCTAAGAAGCACCCTGGCCATACTTTTAACCTTTGCCCTCGTTGTATAGCAGCAATTTGGTAATTAGGGTCCTTCCAGCTAGTAGACAAATCTCTCTTTTTTCTTAATGACATCCCCAAAACATGCTATAATTTTGTTGACTTTTAACAACATTATATTAATTTTAAAACAAGTAAATCCTAAAAGATTATTATTGATTTCCTATTGTAATGTTATAAACAACTCAAATAATCAAAAATATATTTTTATGGAATAAAAATGCCATCGAAGTGCACTAAAAAGAAAAAGAAGGGAATGAAGAGGGACTTTACCTAACAAAAGCAAGCAGTGTAACCTAGTTCTTTGTACCCTCTATGATTCCTCAACAATAAAAAAAAGAAGAGGGGACTGATGAGTATACGATTCAGGATGAGAGTAAATTCAAGAGGTGAGACTAATAGAATGGAAGTCAGGAGTAGCATGTAATTAGAAATATGTTAGAAATACTAATGTTCTAATTTTGAGGTTAGGTAATGGGTCATTGGGTGTTCATGATATTATGATAGATAAATAGATAGATAGATAGATAGATAGATAGATAAAAGCTTTGCATGCTTCAAGGATTAAATACTAAGAGGGCAACAAGTGAACACCAGGTAGTGATTAGACCAGAGTGTAATTAGGTAGCCCTTAGAACAATCTGGGGAAGAGACAGTGAAGACAGAGAAAGGCTCTAAATAGAAAGGTAATGTGGAAATAAAAAAGAATGGGATACAGCGATTTTTATGATAATTGTCAGTAAGGATGCCTATAAGGTTTTGAGGTTAAGCCACTAAAAGGAAAAGATGTTTTAGTGGAAATAGTGAACAAGAGAGTAATTTAAGAAAAATAAAGTTAAGAACAAGTTGTCAGAGTAGGAAGCCCTGTACTTTTCTCCTCACTACTCACAAATACAACAATTTAGAAAAAACTGATGGAGAAATTTCCCTTGTGGGAAATCCTAACACTAATTGAAAAGTCCCCATACCTCAGGCAAATGTGAAATCAGACTTGCCAGGGCGGTGCCTGTGGCTCAGTGGGTAAGGTGCTAGCCCCATATACCAAGGGTGGCAGGTTTGAACCCAGCCCCAGCCAAACTGCAACAAAAATATATAGCCAGGTGTTGTGGTGGGCACCTGTAGTCCCAGCCTACTTGGGAGGCTGAGGCAAGAGAATTGCCTAAGTCCAGGAGTTGGAGGTTGCTGTGAGCTGTGATGCTACAGCACTCTACTGAGGGCAATAAAGTGAGATTCTGTCTCTCAAAAAAAAAAAAAAAAAAAGAAAGAAAGAAAGACAGACAGAAAGAAATCAGACTTGCCAGACCCAGTTAGGAGAATCAGGACATCTTGTCACCAGGTTCCCTACCCCTGGCATAGTGTCACATAATTGGGAAGAGACTCCAACCCTAGCTTCCAGCTTTTACTACAGGGAAGGGGGGATTTGGTTTATGTATCTAGTGCCTCAGCTTTTCAGGGGGACCCCCTCTTGGGACTGGAGTCTTAGAGCTCTGCCAGGACAGTCTGACCACCAGGAGAAGAATGGACAAGGTGGCTTAGGCTGGTAGATGCCATAGACCCTCCACCCTGCTTACCACAGAGCAAGTGGAGGAAAAATATCAGCTCTCAATTGCCTACTGGGTTTGGGAAAAGTTGATTTGTGAATGCAATGGCCCAACTTCCCTGGGACTGCCCAAAGAATTGGCATCTGACTTGCCAGTCTTGGAGCTCTGATGAGTCTGGCATAGTCTAACTCCCTAAGGGAGATCAGAGATGAAGTTTAGATCCATGGATCCTCCTCTTGCTTACCACAGAGTGAGAAGACAAAAACTTCAGCTACCTACTTCACCCTGGGAAGAGAAAGAATTGGTATAGGCCACAGAATCTCTGGGAGGGATGCTTTTGGGGGAGTGAGGCTTCTCCTCTACCAGGCTGGTCTGTGAATACTGGGAGAAGTGCCTGCTTTTCTTGTCTAATGCATAGATGCTAATACAGAGAATCAAAGAAAAATGAAAAATCAGGCTCAAATGTACCAAAGAGAAAAACAAGATAAATCTCCAGAAACTGATCATAACAAAACAGAGTTATATTGATTTACCTGATAGAAAACCAAAGTAACTGTTATAAAAATGTTCACTGAGGAGATAAGAACAATGAATGAAGTAAGAACTTTAACAAAAAAAAAAAAAAACCCAAACATGTTTTAAAGTACGAAACAAAACTCATGTTGCTGAAGAACACAATATCTAAAATTAAACATTCACTAGGGGTATTCAACAGCAGACTAGATCAATTGGAGGGTTAATAAACTCTAAGACACAAGATGGCTAGAGACATCTCCTTACCAGCCACTTGTAGTGAGACAGAGCAGAGAGGACTCCAACCATCTCTGGCTGGGGGATCCCACCCAGAAACCCCACTCTGGCGGCACAGTGAAGCAGTAAGGGACTCCAGGAGACAAGGAGGAGGTCAGAAGCTGAGGAAGACCAGCACAGAAGGCAAGTGCCTGGTTATAGGTAGCGATCTGCAGAGACAAAAAAGGGCTGTCCTGCAGTTTTTTGTTCTTGGACTGGGCTGCTCACTGGAGCTGCCTTTGAAAGGCTTAAGTGAGCAAGTAAACTCAAACAGCATCCAGCAGCTGGGATTGAATCACTGGGCAACTTGGGTACTAGCAGGGCATCATCATTGTAGGAAGACCACCTGGGAGGAATAGTCCAAAGGGTCCTAGTGCTCAGCCAGCTCTGGTACACTTGCTGAGCTCATGCAGTCATTCTTGGGGTGAGTTGAATGGTTCCCCACACACACAAAAGCCACCTTGTGGCTAGGGGGTACTGTTTGGAAGCTCAAGGTGTGCCTCCTAAGAAATCTGACAAGAGCTTCAGGATCCCAATCCTATAGAGACTGAATGCTAGCAAAAGGACTAAGCCCTGATTGAGGGCAAATAAATTAGGAAGACAGGACCAGGTCTCCTCAGCCCCTAGTGACTTCCAGCCCACATCTTTTTTTTTTTTATTAAGTCAAATACACAAAGATCATGGATACATTCATGCATATGTAGGGTACAATGTGCTGATTTTTTTTATACAATCTAAAGCGATTACATTTAGCTTTCACCTCATTTACTTGATTATTGTGCCAAAATATCTATATTCTACATTTCACAGATTTGACTTGTACCCCTGTCATATGTTCCATAGGTGTGATCCCGCCTTTTACCCTCCCTCTGTCAAACCTCCCCACTCCCCTTCCTCCCACTCCATGCCCACATCTTATATAGCAAAAACACCATGTATATTCTCCATCTCATCACCAGTGCCACCTGGTGTACAGGCAATATATTGTAATGTGTGTGTGTGTGTGTGTGTGTGTGTGTGTGTATACCGTGTTTCCCTGAAAATAAGACCTACCCAGAAAATAAGCCCTCACAGGATTTCTATGTATTTGTTAAATATAAGCCCTACCCCAATAATAAGACCTAGTGATGGGCATGGTTATGCAGATATGCATTTCAGCCCACAGCACTAAGGAAGACTGGAATACCTTTTATCTGCCACAGCTCCTTTCTCCAAGCTTTTTGCATTTGCGCAAGTGCATGTGTGGTAACTGTGGTCGCAGGCATCCTATTGCACACATGCAAACATCTAGGGGAAAGGAGTTCATGCATCACTAGCACCAGCCCCACCAACAAGGTTGGCTCCCCCTGTCAGGTTCTAGAATAAGATGACTTAACTGTATTTGAATAAATGTAGACTGTTGTATTATACTTAATAAAAATAAGACATCCCCTGAAAATAAGCCCTAGTGTGTTTTCTTGAGAAAAAATAAATATAAGACAGCATCTTATTTTCAGGAAAACATGGTAGTTGTTGCTGTTCTTTTTTATTTTCTTTTCCCAATTTTTTCCTGTACTTTGTTGTTGTTGTTTGCTTG